TGTGGGAGATTGGCGGGGTCTCTCCCCCGCTGGGCTGAGGCGTCGCGGCGGCCGGATTTGCAAGGGGTGGGCATTACTGCTCCTCTCCAGGGGGCTGCTCGCCTCCTGGGGCAGGACAGGGCTCCAGGCAGTGGGCTCAGCGCCCGGTCGGCGTCGCTCTCTGACCCACGTTCTCTCTCGCCCTCAGCCTCGCCGGTTCTGTACCCAAACCTCGCGGAGCTGGGGGACTACATGGGCCTCTCGCTCGCCAGTGAAGAAGTCCAGAAGGACCTCGCCCTGATCTCGGCAAGCGACAATGTAGGTAGCGCCGTCTGTCTGTCCAGAGATGTACCCCTGTGTCCGTCTGTCCCGCCCGCCCTAGTCAGTGGCGTCCTCGTCCCCACCCCTGCCCGGCCTCGGGGAGAGGAACCTGCAGGCCGCAGCCGGGCAAAAGTTGGTCCTGGGAGAACCCCTTCCTGGCCAGCCCCTCGATGGTGCTCGCCGACGCCTCGTTGTGGGCTGTCCCTTGTCTCCGGGGAACATGCCGTATCCTGGTCTCCTCCGCAGCTTGGAATCCCTCCTCCCCCCAGAGCCCCCTGAACACCAGGGAACCCTAACGCAACCTGCTCCTGCCCCGGCCCCGTCGCTGGGCCCTGCACGGGGCATCTGCAATGTTCTGCAGCCGCTCTGGGGCAGGAACCTTGGCTGAGCCCTGTCCCTGCTGCGTGCAAGGCAGGGTCACCCATGGCTCCTACGCGACTGTTCACGCGCCGGTTGGCTTCTCAGCAGGCAGGGGGCCTGGACCCCTCCTCCCAGGGCCTGCTGGTCGCCCCGCTGACGGGAAACAGCCTCGGGCTGCGCAGGGCGGAGATCAAGCCGGGTCTGCGGGAACTGCAGCTCTGCAAGGACGAACGCGGGAAGATAGGCCTCAAACTGAGAAGCATCGACAAGGTGGGTTCCCGGGCCAGTCCACGCCACTCCCGGTGGGTTCAGTGGGGCCCGACCTGGCTCTGGAATGAAGGGGGTCCCCCTGACAATGAGGGAGCCGTGAGACAAATGCAGGGAGAAGCTAGCACCCTTGGGAGCATAGTGAGCTGTTGGGTCAGAGGATGCTCTGACTGTGAGCCAGGTACCCAGAGGTGAGAAGCATCGACAAGGTGGGTTCCCGGGCCAGTCCACGCCGCTCCCGGTGGTTCAGTGGGGCCCGACCTGGCTCTGGAATGAAGGGGATCCCCCTGACAATGAGGGAGCCGTGAGACAAATGCAGGGAGAAGTTAGCACCCTTGGGAGCATAGTGAGCCGTTGGGTCAGAGGATGCTCTGACTGAGCCAGGTACCCGGAGGCATAAGAACCTAAGAATGGCCGTACTGGGTCAGACCAAAGGTCCATCTAGCCCAGTATCCTGTCTGCCCACAGCGGCCAGCACCAGGTGCCCCAGAGGGGGTAGACCGAAGACAATGATCAAGCGACTTGTCTCGTGCCATCCATCTCCAGCCTCGGACAAACAGAGGCCAAGGACACCATTTTATCCCCTGGCTAATAGCCTTTTATGGCCCTAACCTACATGAAATTATCTAGCTTCTCCTTAAACTCTGTTATAGTCCCAGCTTTCACAGCCTCCTCTGGCAAGGAGTTCCACAGGTTGACTATGCGCTGTGTGAAGAAGAACTTTCGCTTATTAGTTTTAAACCTGCTACCCATGAACTTCATTTGGTGTCCTCTAGTTCTTCTATTATGGGAACTAATAAATAACTTTTCTTTATTCACCCTCTCCACCCCACTCATGATTTTATAGACCTCTATCATATCCCCCATCAATCTCCTCTTTTCTAAACTGAAACGTCCCAGTCGCTTTAGCCTGTCTTCATATGGGACCCGTTCCAAACCCCTAATCATTTTAGTTGCCCTTTTCTGAACTCTTTCCAAGGCCAAAGTATCTTTTTTGAGGTGAGGAGACCACATCTGTACACAGTATTCAAGATGTGGGCGTACCATAGTTTTATACAGGGGCAGTAAGATGTTCTGGGTCTTATTTTCTATCCCTTTCTTAATAATTCCTCGCATCCTATTTGCCTTTTTGACCGCCGCTGCACTCTGCGTGGAAGTTTTCAGAGAACTGTCCACGACAACTCCGAGATCTCTTTCCTGATTTGTCGTAGCCAAATTACAGACGCCCTGTAGCCAGCCAGGTGCCAAGGTCGGCCTGGCAGTGCCCACTGCCTTTCTGTCCCAATCCCTCACGTGGCAGCCCCCCATCCGGCCAGGCTGGCATCCCTGCTGGGCCCCTCTGCCGGCCACGTTGTGATGCACCCATGTGACCGTCTGGCTCCTTCTGGTCCCGCAGGGGGTGTTTGTGCAGCTGGGGAAGGCCAACTCCCCCGCCTCCCTTGTGGGGCTGCGCTTTGGGGACCAGGTGCTGCAGATCAACGGGAAGGACTGCGCCGGCTGGAGCACAGACAAGGCGAAGAAGGCCCTGAAAAAGGCCGCCCCGGAGAAAATCGTCGTGATCGTGCGGGACAGGTGAGCGGGGAGGGGAGACGCTTGGCGTGCTGCCCTCGTGAAGCGCCAGGGCCCGACTAACCCCCGTGCGCTGGTGCCCCCCACAGGCCCTTCCAGCGCACTGTGACGATGCACAAGGACAGCACGGGGCACGTCGGGTTTGTCATCAGGAAGGGGAAGATCGTTTCTCTCACCAAAGGCAGCTCGGCCGCCCGGAACGGCCTCCTCATCAACCACTATGTCTGTGAGGTGAACGGGCAGAACGTCATCGGCCTGAAGGTAAAGGGAGCTGGGCCGGCAGGGGAGAGGGCCCTGCACATAACCCCCACTTCCCTCGGGGCCTGGCCCCACAACGGCGCCTCGCTGGGGCGGACGCCGAGTCGGGGCAGGGTGTCCTGCGGGTCCGGATTAGGCTCCCTTGGGAGGACCAGGGCCTGCCTGTGGGTTACCAGGTCTCCTTGCTAATTGCTGCTATTGAGCGTTGCCTGAGGGGCCGTTGGAGACGCAGGAGCCGGAGGGGAAGACTTTTAGAGCCGCCCTGTGTGTGGGACTAGAGCCCCGCACGCCCCGGGACTTAGAGACTCTCCCCCCAGACAGTGGCTCAAAGCAAGCTGGGACGTCTCTCTCAAATGGAGTATTTCTGCAGCCACCTCTTGGGGCTGTTTTATTCCCTCCTTCCACTGACCAGCGTGGCCCCCAGGCCTGGCGGGGGGGAGCCAGGGTCCTCGCTCACGGCAGAGCGAGACCCGGAGCGGGTGGCAGGGGGGTTCCTGCCTCTGCTGCTAGAGAGAGTCGCTGGGGGTTTCAGATAACTCCCCCTCCCCCAGGCATGCAGCTGTGCCTTCCCCCCTCGCCCTGCCATTTCCCCTTTCCCAACCCTCTCCCCGCTCCAGGACAAACAGATCCTGGATATCTTGACGACAGCTGGCCAGGCCGTCACCATCACCATCATCCCCGCCGTGATCTACGAGCACATGGTCAAACGGTAGGAGGTTTTCCCCCACCCACAGCGCGTGTGCTCCTGGCTGGTGCATCCCAGCCAGAGGCATCGGGGGGGGGG